CCAGCCCAGCCCTCCAGAATGATTTTTTAAAATGAAAATTATGATTCAGAAGAAGAGCCAGCAGTACTTTCAACAAATGACTTATAAATCTGAGAGTTCAAAAACCTTGGAAAAGAATCTCTGTGCATTAAAGTATATATCTGAAGTTGGGCATCTTCATACATGTGAGGGGTAGGATCCAACAGATTTCTATTGATCACCTCTCTAACTCGAGAATCGAGACTGACCTAAAAAGAAATAAGAGCAGACACATTAATACTTTTTTCAAAAGACCTCACATACCTGTAGATTTGTGATATTTCAGAGAAACTTCAAAGTAAATCCAAATGAAGGTGGTTCTTTATCCTCTATACTTACCTACCTCACCTCACCTCACCTCACCTCACCTCACCTCACCCTTCTTTTCCTTCCCTCCTTCCTCTGTCCTTTGTTCTCCTTTACTTTCTGTCTCTCATTTGTCCCCTCTCCCCCGCCCCCCTTTCTTTTTTTTGAGTCTCACTATATAACCCAGGCTGGCCTTAAATCTGTGGCAATCTCTTGCCATGGCATCCTTAGTGCTGGGATTACAGGTGTGCAACACCATGCTTGGCTCGAGGTTGTCCTTTCAAAAGTTACATGTCCTTTATAATTTTCTCCCTTTAAACACTAAATCACACAAAACAAAACTAGACTTTATGCCAGAAATCTGGCTCATGTGCATCTTGGTCAACTTGGATTTATCTTTCCTATGCATTAATCCATGAGTCTGTGACAATTTCTATTCATCACAGAAATACTACAAAATAACCAGAATATGAATTTGCTGCCTCCTCTTTTACAACTGCTTGGCAAACTCTCTTGACCATTGAGCAAGAATCTCACAAAAATTAATATGTGTATCAGATGTTGATTCTTAATAGTTTTAAATCCCAAGCTGTCCTATTGCATTAAAAGTAGGAAAACAGGAATGTGGCAGGGCAGAGTAAAAGAGAAACGTTGCAGGTATTCTCAAGATTTTGCCTCTCTCTGGCAAGATCTAGGAACACACTACATTGTACTACACCCACAGGTCTTTAACCAGAAGAACAGCTGTGTAAAAAAAAAAAAAAAAAGTTTGAAAGATATACAAACAGGAATTCAGACTATTCATTAAGATAATGAATACAGTAGAATTATAAGTTCAGTAGTGATTCAGTTTTTGGATATAATGTAAGGACATACTATAAAGGGAAAAGGGAAAAAAATAGCACTAACATGCCTGAGGAAGCAGAATTAAAGCTTTGAGATGAAAGGCCATGTTAAAACGCAGTCCAGGTTGGTTTTAGCTCTCACTACTGAGCAGGGTGTAGGACATTATGTTCCACGGTTAATTGTCCCATATACATCTTACATATTTTTATATAAACTTTCTGTCATAAGCATCTTGCAAAATCTCTTTGGTTCTGGATTCTTTTCCAATCCATGATCTGCATGGCCTGAGTTCTGACAAGAGTATGAATGAAGTCACTAATATTCCATCGAGTATCCTGAGATCCTGAGCTCTCCTACCTGGGTAGAATGGACTGACTGATATGCCTCAGCAAGGGCTGGCCTGCTAGATTTGTCAGGAAATGGTGATACAAGACAAAAAAAAAAAAAAAAACAGCAAAGAAGGAAATGGTGATTCAGGCTTAATTTCTACAACTTACATAAACCAAGCTATATGTACAAAAGTTAAACAACTCTTACAACTGTATTTTGTTAGGAATTCTTAGAAAAAACATGTTCTGTAAATAATTGTTTAATTTTTCCTTTCTGCACCATATGAACTATCAACTACAAAGTGATAAAACAGTATACAACTTTCCCTAAGCTCTTTATTTTCCCTAAAAATATGTTTTGTGTTTTTACTCAACAGGAAAGTATTGACATTAGAGCTTAAATGGATTCTTCTTACTCTGAAATGTTGTGTTATGGTAGATTGAAGTCTTACCAAACATTTCTCTTTTTTATACATGGTGTGTTTACTGTGAAATTTAAGAGAATTTTTTTTCAGTGGAGAAGAAAAATTCAGGTTAGCAATAAAGAGGGTCATTTCTTTTTTAAGTAACAGCATAATTAAACAGTATAAGTTTTTTATCAGTAGCTGAAATCAAATTAGTTTTATTAAAATAAAAATATCTTGGTTACATGTCTTAAATCCTGTTTAACTGTCAAATTTCTTTGCAAATTAAAAACAGTAAAATATCATAAAGAGTACAGTTCAACATTTATTAATCCATAACAAAAATGCATTTGTTACTTCCATTTGAAAAAATAAAATATTTACCTTAATATTTGGTTGTTTATTTGAAAAGGTTGTTGGTCAGTCAAAAGAAGTGTAGAGAGGCCAAGTATCAAGGACAAACCCCATGGGTTAACAATTTACAGTTTCATCTGGTGGCATCTTGTGCTTCAGAATGAGGAACGTCTATAAGACAAGGTAGTGTGGTGGGTCCCAGCTTGGACCTGAGCCACAGTCATCCTGGGACTCAGAAATATGTAGATGGCTTATAAAGCCACCTTATCTGGGGTCCACTGCATAAGGGACTGAGGAGTTTCCTGGAAAAACTCATCTGAAGGGAAGAGAAAGTTGAGTAATACAAGACATGAGCTAGCCTTAAACTATGGAGAGTCTCCTCTTACTCTCCATAGCCTTATACCTAGATAGGGGATGTCGAGGGTACATTGCAGAGTAATACCGATTAAATAACAGCAGAAGACAGCTCTGACAGATTTGTTTGCATTTAACTGGCAGCTCAGCAGTGCCGAAAACTGGCAATGTGGGAAGCTTAAAAGGCAAAAGTGATTTTGAGATAGGCCTCCTAGAAGCCTTCACTCTCATAGGGAGGAGATGGAAGAAGAAGAAAAGTGGCTCGGGAGCATCATGAGATGATCTCAAGCAATTCCCCAAAACTGTTGAGGAAAATGCAATGTGAATTTAGGCTCAATAAAAGTGTGAAGGTAAAGGGGGGGTGTGTGGAGTTAAAGGGGGCAGATGAAGGCAGAAATCTTGCTAGTGTGGCCTGGGAGGATCCAGAGAAGCCAGTCAAATAAAAGGTTAATCCCTGGATTCTCTATTCCCATGAATGGAAAACTAAGGAATATTGCTAAAGGGAATAAAAATTTTTTATTTTTTTATTTTGGAGACAGGGTTTCACTATGCAGTGCAGGGTAGCGTGAACTTTCTTATGTAGCCCAGACTGGCCTCAAACTCACAGTGATCATCCTGCTTCAGCCTCCCAAGTGCTGGGATCACAGACATGAATCACCATGCCCAGTGAACAAAAGTTTTGACCTCGCCTTTTTGTTCTAGCTATTGAGACACAGTGGAGGTATTGTTGACAGAATTATAGCGAAAATGAGTAAATTTTACTGGAAGTATTTTCCTTCATAGAAGACCCTGAGTTATGTTAATTTCCAAAACAATTTTAATGTATCATGATTATTCTTTCCCAGTTTTTATCTGATATTTAATTTTACTGAAATTGCTTTACTTGGGATTGTTTTCTAAGTAAAATTTTGATTATCTTTTTCTTTAGAAATCCATATCAAGATTTTACAAATTTTAAATTTTATAGATCTAGGATATTTGATTTTTCTATTGATTTTAGTACATTTTAAACCAGGCATGGTGCTGCATACATACCATGCCAGTACTCTGCGAGACTCAGGCAGAAGGATGGCAAGTCAAGTCCAGTCTGAAGAACTTGGCAACTTAGTTAAATCTTACTTCAAAATAAAAAAAGGAGGGCGGTCAGCTCAGTGTGAAAGCCCTCAGTTTAAACCCCAGTACCATGAAGTAAATAAAGAAATATGCTTATTTATTTTAGCTGTTTTACATTTCATCATGTATTGTTTTTGTGTTTGTATTAAAAAATAATTATACATTACAGGTAAGACCAATTATTTGAATTTACCTCTTGGAGCAAAACTTCTTGGTAAAATAAAATGTAGAAACCGGATGTCCTGCTTGCCAAAAGGGACAGAGCTCACCTTATGGTTAAGGTTGCTATTACTAATTTTGTCTGCAGTTGCAAGGCTGTGCTTACAGAAATCTACTGTAGTGCCATGCAGAAACACTGGGCAGTGGAGAATATAACCAGCATACTGTCGTTGGAAGAGCACCGAATTTGAATCAGAAGGTCCTAGGCTTGTGTTCCATCTCAATTGGATGTAATTCTTGTTTCTCATAGGTTCACACACTTGTTTTACCAGTTTGAGGATAATTTTGTTTTGTTTTGTTTTGTTTTGTTTTGTGTTTTGCTGTGAAGGGTCACCATTTATCCTCACAGCTGAAAGACTGCTGTGAGACTCATTGTAACAAAAGCCAAAAGACCACAATTAAGTTCAGACCCATTGTATAATGCTAACAGTAATGCTAATTGATCATAATTACGATGACACCTAATGTCTTTGGCTGTTCTGTCAATTGACAACTCCTATTTTAAACTACATTCACCGCTTCCTATCCTTTTTATCACAGTAGTTACTTGACTTCAGTATGCTTTGCTTGTCTTCTAAAATGTAATCTTCACAAAGGCAGCCAGGGTCCTGTCTTATTCCCCATTACATCCCCAATATCTAGTCCAGCACCTGATTCCTAAGAAGTACTCAATAAATCTTTCTGAGTGCTAATAGGTCTGCACATATAAAGAAGTAGCTATGGGAAAACAGAGTTGAGTGAGTTTTGTTTAGAAAACATGACTCAGGTCACTGAATATGGTACATTCACATTATTTTGCTAAAGGCAAATACACTGAATCCATGTTTATCATGTAAGGTGTAGATGATTCTGGAGTGTAAATAGGTTTACTTTTTCCTTTGGAAATTTAAGATGAAATCGGAAGCAAACAATTCCTACTACTATTAAATTTACCATGTGGCAAACATCAAGAGATTTAGTGGATTTTCTTTCCATGCCAGTATTCCACAAACCCAGGAAGCTGAAGCTCCAGGGTGGTGCAGGGAGCTGCTACATGTCATGCAGATGTGAGTGGCAGGCCTGGATTAAGGTCCTGGCCCATGACACTGCTATCACCAAGGACACTGGTGGATAATAGACCACACAGTTTTCAATTAAGATAAAAGAGCTAAACTTACTTAAGGTTTTACATTTCTTTCCTTCTTCAATTGTTCAATGATGTTTACAGTTGGTAAGTCCTTCTCTTCTTCACTTTCAATTTTTTATTATCACATATTTGCAGTCCATAATGTTTCCATTCCTCTT